TTACATACCTTAGAACCCTCTTACCAGCTTCCCAGTGGCTTGTTTTAGGAGATTCCATAAATCTACTTAGTATGCTTACAGAGAATACTAAGTCAGGTCTTGTAGCAATTAGGTACATAAGACTCCCAATTAAGCTTCTGTAAAGACTACAATCCACAGTGTCCTCTCTGCTGTCCTTTGACAGTTTGAGCCCAAAATCCATGGGTGTGACAGCAGGTTTACACATTCCCATATTAAATTTGTTCAAAAGATTCTGAGCATACCTTTCTTGAAGGATTTTGATGCCATCTTCACCTTGTCTTACTTCAATACCCAGAAAATAATGGAGCAGCCCCATGTCAGCCATATCAAACTCCCTTTTCATGTTTTCCTTGAATCCTTCTACTAGTTCCCTTGAATTTCCAGTGAATACAAGATCATCAACGTATATGCAAACCATCAAGATCATACCCTGCTGTTTTTGAGTAAATAAAGTATGTTCCTGAGAGCATTATGTAAAGCCATGTGCAAGGAAATAGCTTTCAATTCGGTTGTACCAGGCCCTTGGGGCTTGCTTCAAGCCATACAGAGCTTTCTTTAAGTGACATACCTTATGCTCTTCTCCTTTCCTTGCATATCCTTCAGGCTGATCTGTATAAACATCCTCTTCTAGGAAGCCATTGAGGAAGGCTGATTTTACATCCATTTGATGTACATCCCATTTGTTGTGTGCAGCTAAAGCTAGAACCAATCTCACAGTCTCCATTATGATAACAGGAGCAAAGACCTCCTGATAGTCTATTCCAAACTTTTGCTTGTAACCTTTTACGACCAATCTTGCCTTGAATCTATTCACTTCACCTTTTTCATTTAATTTAGTTTTGTATACCCACTTAACTCCAATGGCCTTGCATCCTTTTGGAAGATCTACTAATTCCCATGTGTTATTCCTTAAGATGGCCTCTATCTCACTGTCCATGGCCTCTCTCCACTTTTTGTCATTCCAAGCCTCTTGGAATGATACTGGATCAGCATCAGCAAAAAGAACAAAGTCTATGTTCTCATTGAATTCCAGACTTCTAGGGTCATTGTAGATATCCACAAGGCTTCTATACCCTCTTCTGGGTGGACTTTCAGTAGAGGTTGCTTGTGAGTTTGAGTCTAAAATATTTTGAGAAGTTGTAGGTGTTGTAGGAGGTTCAAACTGAGGGTTAGGATCATGATTACTTGGGTTCTGCTGAGTGTCCTTTTGTTCGTTATCAACAGTTGTAAACTGTGGACTGTGTGTTTCTTTAATTTCACTATTTGATGAGTTGTTCCACTCCTTATCCTCCTCAAAAACAACATCTCTGCTGACTATAGTTTTTTTTGTGATAGGATTGTACAACTTATAGGCCTTAGACTTATTACTATAACCAATAAAGATGGTTTTCTCAGACTTTTCATCTAATTTGTTTCTCTTTTTTTAGGAATGAAAGAATATGCCAAACATCCATAGGTTCTAAGGTGACTGACTGTTGGTTTATAACCGGTCCAAGCGTCTTGAGGTGTCATGTCATTGAGTCCTTTTGTTGTTGTCCTATTCATAAGGTAGCATGCACAGGCTATGGCTTCTGCCCAAAAGGAGTATTCTAGATGTTTACTTTTGAGCATGCTTCTTGCTTTTTCTATAATGGTTCTATTTAATCTTTCTGCTACACCATTTTGCTGTGGTGTGTATCTAGTAGTCATTTGGTGATGTATCCCGTTTTGTTTCAAAAAATCAAGAAAGTGAGTGGAGTTATACTCTCCTCCACCATCTGATCTGAGAGTCTTAACCACATATCCACTTTGCTTTTCAATGTAGGTTTTGAGGATCTCAAAAACTTCTGATTTTTCTTTCAAAAAATAAACCCATAATTTCCTACTAAAATCATCTATGAAGGTTAATAGATACCTGTTTCCTCCAATTGATAGTGTCTTCATAGGCCCACACAAATCTGTGTGAATTAGCTCCAAAGGCTTTGATGCTCCCATGCTTTCTGTTGAGGAAATGCTTCTCTCTTTTGTTTTCCCATCATGCATCCTTCACAGATGTCTTTTGCTTTGTTTAGACTTGGCATCCCTTTAACCAAATTATGTCTTTGCATGTAACTTAGATAAGCAAGGTTTGTGTGGCCGAACCTGTGATGCCATAACATGGAGGGATCCTTAGTGGATATAGAGAGAGAGAATAGTCCATCTTCAGTAATATTTAGAGGGAACATTCTATTTTCTGTCATTTTGATCCTTCCCATAAGTCTTCCCTCTTGATCCTTCCATTCAAATCAAATCCTTTCTGTATAAGCTGTCCTACACTAAGCAGATTGTGTTGCAGTCCTGGAACATAGTACACACTTGTTATTTTTCTTTGTCCATTCTTTGTGTCCACTAATATATCCCCTATTCCATTTACTACCAGCTTCCTGTCATCACCAGTCCTCACTTCTCTTTTCTGTGTTTCATCTATATGAGAAAAAATGTCTTTGTTTCCAGACATGTGGTTACGGCAACCACTATCAATGTACCAATTGCTAATCATTGTCTCTTGAATGTTTAGTATCATGAATATAGCCTCTTCTTCTTCTATATGTGCAAAATTGTTGTTCCCTTCTTCTGCCAATTTCTTCCTGCAAAATTTGGCTATATGTCCAAATTTTTGGCAGTGATAACACTGCACAGGGTTCTCTTGTTTGTTTCTGTACTTACCTTTGAAATCTCTTTGTTGGTCTTTTCCATAAATTCTGCTCCTGTCTTGGCTTCCTGAAGATTGAAGTTGGAAAGCTTGCTCATATGGGGTGGTATCAAACTGCTTCATTCTCAATTCATGAGACTGAAGTGTTCCAATCAAACTTTCAAGGGACAGTGTTGAAAGGTCCTTGGATTCTTCAATAGCCACAACAACATACTCAAAATTTCCTAGTTAGACTTCTTAGGATCTTCTCAATTACCCTTGTGTCATCAATATTTTCACCATTCAATCTGAGTTGATTCAACAAGAATACAGTCCTGTTGTAGAATTCTTCTATTGTCTCAGCATCTTTCATCTTAACGGCATCGAATTCACATCTAAGGGTCTGCAGCCTAACTATTCTGACTTTGTCTTCCCCACGATAAGTTTTGTAAAGTATATCCCATGCATCTTTAGATGAAAGAGTGTAGGATATTCTTTCAAATATAACCTCATCTACAGCCTGATAAATGGCATAGAGAGCCCTTTTGTCCTTCTTTCTTAGTTCCCTTAATTCTTCTTCCTGTTCTAGTGTGAGATCATCTATTTCCTTTGGTTCTTCGAAGCCTTGTTCGACTATGTCCCATAATTCTTGTGATTCAAACAGAACTCTCATTTGTATATTCCAGTGATGGTAATCCCTTCCATTTAGTTTTGGAAGTTGATGATGTAACAGTGCGTTTGAAGTTGATGCCATTTACTGTCCTCTGATACCAAAATGTTAGAAACATTGATAAACCAAACACTGTTTTTTTTATTAAATTGAATCCACGTGTTTCATACAACAATTTACAGTATAAATAGAAAGACAAAGGGTTGTACCCTTTGACACAACA